AGGATGCCGTCGATGCTGTGTTTCGCCTTCTTCTCGCTCTCCTCTGCCTCCTTCCTCTCCAGGTCGGTCTCCTCCTCTTCGCCTTTCCCGAATTTACTCCTCAGGATGCGGCTGATGGAACTCACTGGGGGCGGGAGGAGGAAAGGAGCGCATACGACTGAGATTGCGGGACTGTGCTGGAGGGAGCCCCCCAGTCCGAATCGGGGTGGGGGCAGGGGGCCTAGAAGGCCTGCCCTGTACAGCTGGCTTCTGTCTCCTTCTGCATCTTTGGGCATCCTCGCCCTTCCACCCCCTCCCCACTCAACACCCTCCACCCCCCATCACACAATCGGCTTGTAGGAACAGGGAGGCGGGAGCCTGGAAATCTCGCACCGCCCCGATAGCGCCAGGAACCGCCAACTCTGTCCTCTCTCCCCGGTAGGAAGCGTTTCCCTTCTGGACTCCACAGACGGTTCTCTAGATCTCCAGACTAAGAGAATTCTCCTGCCAGCCCACATCCCCTCAACCTGAAGGCATTGAGCCCCGCGGTTCGCGTTGAGGGAGGAAGAATCAGAGCGGACCCGTCCCCTGCCATTCAATTCTTTTTGAGGCTATAAAGGGTTTAAATTTCAACTGCAGAATCGTTTCCTATTGTGAAACTCAAAAGAAAATGCACTCTCCCCCGTTTATTTTTTCCAGATTCCAGTGGAGTAAACAAATCCGTCTCTGAAATATCTTATTTTCGCAGGGGAAAAAAAGGAGTTTCCTTTTAATTAAAAACAAACCCGCGCGCCCTCGCGCTCGCTCTGCGCTCGCCCCTCTTTTCCCTCCGCCTCCCTCCCCAGCCGCCGGGGGCGCCGGCTGGTCCCTGGGACTCTCGGGGTGGGGGGAATCCCGGCCGTTGCCGAAGCCTCCCCTCTTCTGCGCACACGGCGAAGTCTCGATTGGTGCGGCCCCACTTCTCCCTTCGGTTGGGGTTACCAAAACATTTGTTTCTCTTTAAAAGGGAACATCAATATTAATAAACGCTTGGCCTCCACCTCGCGTTTCCTGCCGTGCCTTCTCGACAGAAATCCTGTTTGGGGAGCCCTCAGCGGCGGTCTCTCAACCCCAGGATAAGGAGCTCATCACTCCCTCCATAAAACGTCAAAAATGTCTAGTTCATAAATATTTAAGAGACTTGGGCAGGGCCGGTCGCCTCCGGATCGCTTAGATTGATCATTGGGGTGATTATGGCTCAGACGACCTGCCTGGGTACTAGCGACCAACACTTGAGCCTCAAAAGATCTTAATGGGCCTAGTACCTGAGGGTACGGTGTTTCGATCACAGACTGCATCCTTGAGTAATTTGTCTCGAATTTCCCAGCTGAACATGCCAGGGTTCTCTCTTTTGTATTCCTCAATTTTCTTCTCCACGTCAGGCGTTGTCACCTGCTTTAAGAGAACAGGCAGGCAGGCGTTGGTACCCAGTCCTCTGGACCAGATGTGGCAGCCTTACCGCCTCCGGGCCTGGCCAGACGCTCCTTCCAGTGCCCCATGGGAAGGTTCCTCTAGTTAGCAAAAGGACCTCAACTCTCTGAGACAGTTTTCTTTAGAAAGGGGCAGACAGGAAACAATCCCACCCCGCAGCAGACTGGGCACTCTCCTTCCCAAATCAGCTCTCATAATCAGGATAAATTAAGAAGCATAACGTATTGGGGGAGGGTGCTATCTGATCCATGAAAATAAAGAAAGGCAACTCCTTACACTAAATCAGCAAGAAAACGAAACTAAAAAAGAAATGCTTGAAAGAGGAGCTGAAAAATCAAGTTAGATCTGCGACTTGTGCCTTTCCAAAGGAGCATAAGATTTTAGCCAAAGTGAAAAGCAAAATGAAATACAAAAGGTGAGTATCTAGGTTTTTTTAAACTATAGCTGGTAACAAATATGGATAATTTAAAAGACTGGCTCCTTTTTTCCCCAATAAAAGGAGTTTCCAGAGATTCTTAGAGAGGTTGCAAATGGGGGTGGCATTGGAGGAGAAGAGGTGGGTGTTTGGAAGTCTTCAGTTTACCAGAACTCTCCTTTGGTTTTGCCCTGTGGCAACCAGAAAATTATACTGAATTTCCCCCACATCCAGAAGAAAAGGCAGATCCTTTATACCCCACTCCCACTCAGCTCTGGCCTGTGTGGCTCTCTTTCCTTTTTTAAAGAGAAGCAAAATAATTTGAAGATAGCACCAAACTTCTTTTTAAAAAGTAACTGGCTCATTACAAAGAAAAATCACTTTAGCTTTTAACTGCTTGAAGACACTTTGGACTGGAGGCGCTTGGGGACAGGAGTTGGCAGAGGAATCATCAGGGAACCAAAAGTGGCTCCTTGGATTAGTATTGGAAAGGGCAGTGCTGGGAGCTGGAAGGATCCTTGGGGAAGAACTCAGCAACAGGTGGGCACACACAGCTTGCACGCTTTAGGTTTTTGCCTGTTAAAATAATTTGATGAGGCTTTCAGGATTCTAAGGCATGAAAAACAAATGCTTTATCCCTTTTGCAGAAAGGCTGGAGTTTTTCCTTAGCATTTATCAAGGAACACCAGCTCAGAGAGAAATCTAGTCCCTTCCCTTCACCTCCCAACACACACACACACACACACACACACACACACACACACACCCCTTCCCGGACTAGGGAAAATCTCCTTGGAAAGCTCCAGATGGCAGTCCTTGCCCCAGGGCTGCTCTTCCCTAACTCTGGACACCACAGATCGAAGGCCTCAGGGCCAGGCGGCGCACTCACCTTGGGCTTGCTGCCACCGATGGCACCGGGACGGATGGAGCCCGTCTCCTGATACCTGCACAAGATCTTAGAGACGCAGCCGTGGGACACGCGCAACTGGCGGGAGATGACGCAGGGCCGGATGCCATGGTGGGCCATCTCCACAATCTTGTGGCGGATGTGGTTGGGTAGTGGCCTGCCATTGATAAATACACCGCCGAGCTGGTTGACCCGGCCCTGGCCGAGGGGAGTGGACACTGGGAGCAGAAGGCGAAAAGAGAAGCAAACGGAAAGTCATTTTGGGAGAGGGGAGATGAACCCAACTAATTTCATACTCCTCTGGCCAATCGGCATGTTACAGCCTCAGCATTGAAACTGCTCAATTCAGGCTCCCAGAGCCAGACCCTATTCCAATCAACTTTGTTCAAATTATCAAGCAACTTGGAGGCACATAATCTTGTGTGAAGGGAACAACCGGAGCAAAATAACTCTCCCCAGTGAAACTGCCCTCCCTTTGGGTCCAAGAAAGGGGACAATTGCGGGGAAAGGAGACCCTGAGGCTGGAATAAAGTATATCTAATTCAAGGAACATCCTCCTGGCCAGGAGGCACTGGCCTTCTCCAGTTCACACTGAACTCTGTCTAATTGGGGTGGCTTTCTTTCTAAGGGATTTGGAGGAGCTGACAGTCCTTCAGGTTTCCAGCTAAGAGCACTCCAGCCAAAGGTCAAAGAGGCTCCTGAAGGCAGGCCGCAGGTGGCAGCACGTGTCACCTGTTACACCTCGGGGACAGAGACGACAGTCAGCTCTGCTTGCAGGCGTCCTCGCCTCCTATGGTGCTCTGGGTAGTATGTTCTACTCTGGACCGACCGAGGGCCAAGGCCAGGAGCCTTCCCGTCAGCATCCCGGCTCGGGCGCCCCAACCTCCTAAACTATCTAGAAAGTCTCCTTGCAAATCCTCCTGACTCCCCGGGATTCCAGAACCTTCAGGTTGACTGAAAAGCAGTTCCCCCAACGGGTTATGACAACTTTGAGATGCCTCTGGAGATGAATGGAACTCTAATTAATGAATCAAGTAATACTAAAATTTCCAAGCACGATGCTGCGCGGCGTGTGCCACCACAACTTTGCACCGGCAGGAAAATCCTTCCGGAATTAACAAGACTTCGGCAAATATGGGAGCAGCTGGGACAGTTTTGAAGTGCCTTTGGGTGGACAAAATGCGAAGAAGTTCCTTTCTGGTGCTCAGAAGTCGATTGATCCCTTCCCCACCGCGGCATCTCCAAAACAACAGGGGAGAGCGGACCGGCCCCGGAGCAGGCCTGGTCTCCAAGCGCTGCGAGCTGTTTGGAAGAGAGCGGCGCCCCGTTTGCCCAGGAAAAATCGAGTTGGGGGATCTCCCCCCGACTGCTCCCTCCTGGGTGGGAGTACCCCGGGAATGGGCTGCTGGACGCTCAGAGGAAGCTGCAGAGGCTCCGGGCAGGGTGGCGCTGCCTGGCCGCGGCCCGGGTTCCGCGCGGCGCTACGGCCTTTTCTTACCTTCCAGAGGGAACCCGCTGCGCGGGTAGTTTTGCCCCGGGCCCGGCCGCATCATCCTAGGCACAGCTCCGGCCAGCGTGGTCATCCTTCGAGCAGCTTCGCTCGGAAATTATATTCCAGGTGAAGGCAAAATAGAAAGACGAGCGCTGCGCTGGTGACCCCCAGCAACTCCCCCGAGCTTGGGGAGCCCCTCCCCAAAAAGGCTGGAGAGAGAGGGAGGGACACGGAGAGGGGGGCTGCTCGCTCCTAGTCCAGAGAGAGGCTCGAGATGGAACCAAGGAAAGGGGCGGGCAGGGAGGCCCAGAGTCCAGGGTCCTGAGCCCGAGGCGGAAAAGTTTGGTGCGAGTCTGGGCGAGCGGCCCCGCGGCTGGGGGCGCTGGGGAGGGGGTTCCGAGCGCCGCGACGAGCCGGGGAGTGGGGGTGGGAGCGGGAGGGCGGCCGGCCTGAGTCTCCTCCCGTCGTGACACCGAGTGCAGGGATCCGGGCTCGGGAGCCATTTTAGTTCCGT